ATCACCTTTTTTAAAATATTATTTTACATTTGTTATTATTTTGGAATGTGCCATCATTTGGATTTTTTTTTGGATTTTTTTTGTTAAATATACGTTGTCACGTGAGGTGGAATTGTATAAAATAACTAAAATTTAAATAAGAGAGAAAATTAATTGATTAGATGATTGTTGAAAGTTTTTATACTAAGTACCTGACAATAAAACACAAATTGCTTGATAAAAGCATAATATTTTACACAGTTTAGAATTTGATCTTTAAATGATTTCGTCCGACTGTTGATCACGCAATTTTGTTTGAACTGATAATATTTCTCATTGAGTCAACCCTTGAAATCCCTAATGACAGCAGCTGACTATTTATAGTTGCATTGTTTTTTTGTGATGTGGAGACAATCTTTCAAATCTTGAAATGTTGTATGAACATACATTTCAGTTTAACTGTCCCCTTTAGACAGCATTATGATACATATTTTAATTCGTGTTACATTTTTTATTACTGTAGGTAATAAACTTATTTATACATAATGTATGATTATTGTTGGTTGCATTTGCCATTTCAGACACTACACAGACATGGAATATATGCTATACAATAAAAAGATTGTGAGTCTTGCATTTGTAGCATTTAACATGAATTTAAACAAAAAAGATGCTGTTTTGGGTATTTTGTAACTTCAGTGTTTTGTCAAGTGGATTCAAGCAACAAAAAAGAGACATGAGCCATCTTGTTTATTCTTCTGTTGATTTCAACAACAATGGCTTGGACACACACGAATTTGTCTATATTCACACGAGGAACACAAGTAAAACGAGCATATTGATAACAGCAAGATATTACAAGACGTACATGAAGGTTATACTCAGTGCAATTCAAAATCTACGCTATAACACCAGCACGATAAATGACTATCTTTCCTTAGATAAGGTAGGGTAGTAATTAGCGTGTTTGTTCATCTACACATTAATGTGCATTTTCTATAGGCAGTTTAAGTTGTTGGGGGAAATGTCTAAATATTTTCAACAAAGCAGCATGTAGAATAAATTAATAATTCATTCTTGCTAGCAAAACTTTGTTTTTAGGTAGTGCCGTGGTACAATCTTTTAAAATAGTTAAGATTGACTTCGAGCTATTCGTGTCTTCCGAAGACTTCAAAGAACTCGATAATCATAATAAGTGTTTAAAGGGTAAATTACATAACTTAGGTTTAATATAGGCCTACTACAAAACAAGAGTCTATGTAATCTCTAGGTAGAAATGTATATTGCAAATTTCCCATGATTAGGTAGCTTCTTTCGAGATTTTCAAACGATTGCAATCTCTGGTGAGTCCGATAAAATAATCGAAAAAATACAAACTGTAACCTCTCCCACTCACATAGAATAACAATAAAGAACAGTTAAGTAATCGATAAAGTATGTAATACAGAATGCATTTTCTACACTTGCCATCCTCTTTGTCTGCACACATGGCACTAATGCAATATTGCCATATTCGGATTGCAGAAATAGTGTTACACTGAACACAATCTATTCTTTTCAATTTGATTCGTAATGCCAGCATGTTGTGGCCTGATTTTATATACGAGACCAATTTTAAAAGTGACAAGCTGATGCAATTATGTCAGGATTTCAAATGATTGCATCTTAGTCGATTTTACCCCCCAAGCATCCTCAAGTATGAAATAAATGTTTAATTCCGTTAAATGCTTCTCATGCTGCTTACATTTCCCTAACTAAAACGATGGGTTATTGTGTTCCTGTTAGTCTGCCTCTTTGAATAATTTGCCAAATACGAGCAAATACACAGATCCACTTTTCGCTAATGGTAAAAGTCCTCGTGTGTTGGTAAAAAAAAAAAAAAAAATAAAACGCATTTTTTTCTTTGGGCAGGTTTTAGGGTAGCCTACTTTTGTATCGAGGGGGATTTTCTCACTTCTTGACCCAACTGTTTGTAATAAAATTGGCGTGTCTTCTCTTTCACTGCCCATTCGCGAGACCTCTTCAATATCTGCCATATAACCATAAAAAGACCATAAAATCACTCTTTGCTTTCCTCTTTCTCTTTTTCTTTTTCTTTCTCTTCCGTTTCCTTGTCCTCTCCTTCCTCCACCTCACCGTCCTCGTTGCCCTCTTCTTCGGCCTCTGCTTCAGCCTCTCCTCTCTGGCCAGGAAATTTGTCTTTGTTATTTTCTTTTTTCCACTTCATTCGGCGATTTTGAAACCAGATCTTCACCTGCCGTTCAGTTAAGCTCAGCGCGTGAGACACTTCAATACGGCGCTTGCGTGTGAGGTATGGGTTGAAGAGGAACTCTTTCTCCAGCTCAAGAGTCTGGTAACGGCTGTATGTCTGCCTCCCATTGCGTCTCCCAGGAGCTTTGGAGTGAAACAAAAATATCTGTCAATTACAAGCCTTCATTGCTTTGTTCTCTTTCCATTTACATATTCTGGGATGCAGTTACAAAAACATGAAGGAAATATCAATAGTAAGCTGCTATTTATATGTGCAAACCAAAATTAATAAACGGTTAGAATTGTTTAAAATTAGAACTTTCTTGTTTCCCCCCAAACATAGTATAGTAAAGTAAAGACATAGTAAAGACAAATACTGGCACAAAATAGTAATTTGTTTGCGTCAGAGTGTGCCTTATATCCTCATTGCTACGATTTGTCCCCAGAACATATTCAAATATATCAGTTGTGGGCAGACACTGTAGTTATCTAGGGGATATGACTAAGCTTCTGACTTTCCTGTTAGTAGATCTATGTTACATAATTTGATTTCTCCCATAAACGTGACGTTTCTATATTTGAGTTAGACGTTAGCTTTAATTCAGGTCAGTAAAGCAAAGAATTTCATTTAACCTGCTGCTAGGGAGCGCGCGCGCGCGCGCACGCCCGCACACACACACACACACACACACA